CCCTTATGATAGGGGTCTGATTGTGGCCTGTTCCCGACCGGGCAGTTAGTATATGTCTCCCCCCCCCTTCCCCTTAAGACCTGTTCCCCAGCGGCTGGGAACAGAGACTCCTAAGTGGTAATGGAGTCTCTGTCCTGTAATCCCCATGTGGGAGCCCAGCTTACTTCACCAAAAACAGGTTGGCGAGGAGGAGAGGCCGGTCAGCTGTACCGTTGTTTTAGGGCCGGGTTTGGAGAACAGGTGGGCCTGTGGAGCCGGCGGAAGACAGCGCGTGACGTCAGAGGAGTGCGCCGCGTCTCACCGGAAGTGACGATACGAACCAGGAAGACGGGAGTAACGGAAGCCTGCAAGTAACAGGCTGTTCGTCTAGACCAACGAAGGTAAGTGAGGGAAAGGGGGGAGTCCCTTAAGTAGGTCTATAGCCCCTCCCACAACTTCAGGCCATGCCTTCCAATATATATGTATTTATTTATTTGGGAGTCTAGCCAACTCTTATCATTGTTGGGTCTAGGCAACACAAAAGTACAGATCTGATAACTAGATCTAGTATGTATTGTCTGTTGCCACCCCAAAAGTTAAAGCAACACTATAGTGTTAGGAACACAGGCATGTATTCCTGACCCTTTAGAGCTGGAGTGCAGCATTAGGATCCAGGCCGCACTCAGATCGCTTTAAAAATGTGTTTTTTACTCACCTTTTTTCCCATGCTGTGCTGGTCTCCCTATGACTGATCCACTGTCATGGCTCCCGGGTCTTCTGCCGGCATGGCTGCACATAAACTAAGCAGCTACGCTGAAAGAAATATTTCATAGTTAGGCCACTGCCCGATCTCCCTCCATTCCGGTCCCCAGCGGGTGCGACGCTCTTAGGAATGCCGGCCACTGCGGTTTGGGTTTTTATGGTAAACCTACCTTTGCCCACATCAAAGATGGCGCCAGCAATTGTGCAACGTCACGTCATAAATGTGCACGCACGTTTTGGGGTCAGAAGTCAGAGACAGCCAATTAAAGCCTATAGAGGGTTATTTAAACTCAAATTACCTTTTTGTCAGTGCCCTGTCGTGGTTTCCACTAGCTGGTTATCAGAGAGTGTGTTCCTGATCGTGTTTTTTCTGGTATTTGACTTTGGCTTTGTTTTGACTTCCTTTTTCTAGTATCCTTGACTTCTGGCTTTCCTCATCATGTTCTCGGCAAATATTTTGACTAATTAAGGTGCGGTTAGACATTATCATTGGTTCTAGATGTGATACTATTCTTCGTGCTGGATCAATTATAATCCTGATAACCACCTGTCTTTGTCTCTATGACTGAAATCATCAGTTTTGATGATCATAGCCAATCCAATCCTCTCATAGAAAAACATTGGTAGGCTTTTGTGTATGCATGACAAAATGCTATGCTGCCCCAATCAGCAGCTCCATGCGGAGCTGCTGAATGCCAATGCTGAGTAGTGTGCACCTGTCTGAGTGACCGTCACTAGAAATGTTACTAGCCAAAAATGTAAACACTGCCTTTTCTCTGCAGGGACATGCTATAGACACAAAGCATTTGTCTGAAGTTGTTCTGGTGACTATAGTGCCGCTTTAAGTAGTTTGTCACTTGCCTGGATGTTTTTCTGTGCACTAGTCTGTAATTAATGAAAATGGAACACACTGGTTTCTCTGTCTTCTTAGTGTGAGTGTTAGATTTGTTTCCTGGTACATTCTTTATACAGGTAGTCCTCATTTTACGACTTACCTGTTTAACGACAACTCAGACTTACGACCAGCTCTCTAGCATGGGTATTCAAGGAATTCCCCACATTAGAGAGCTGGTCTATGTTCAGCGAATTTTCCCCAAACATAGATTAGAGAGATTCCCTGATCTGGTGCGTTTGTATATATTCAGGGAAATTTCCCCAAACATAGACCTGCACTGGTGCGTATGCTCTGTAGGGCATCCTCATTTACTGACAAATTTGTTTTAAGACCAAGTAGGTATATTACTTTTGTGTCAAATTCCTAAAATGCTGTAGACAGAAACAACGATTGATTGACACATAGTTCTTCCACAGTTAGCTATGGTTGGGTAAATTGAGAAGTCCCAGGTGATTAAGGTAAACAAGAAATATATTATTAATATCACATCACAGTTTCAAGTTTCACATAGATAACTTATTTGTAAGGCTGGTGTCCTGTATGTGATATATATATATATATATTACTTGACACCCTTACCACCTAAAAAAGAGAGGTTACTTACAACTAAGACAGAGAAGAGAGTCTCTCCTCCATGAATCTCTGCAATGCCCCAGGGAGAACATCACCAGTGATGATTTCCTGGTCAATCCAATGTTTTGATGAATGAATAAATCAATTTTTTCCCTTATGAATTATTTTTCTACCTAATTTCTATCCTGGCTAACTACTCCTAACTGACTTATGACTTTCTTTCCTTTGCATGCGACACAGCCTAAGTTATGAATGCAGCCAGTATTGGCAATCGCAAAATCCATATGTAGATAACACCATCTTGGGTCAGAAAGAGAGAACATTTTATGTTTCTTACTTACTTATGCCCTCCACCCCGGGGTATGGGCCACCAAAGGTAGATCTCCAAAGACTTTTGTCCTGGGCCATTTTTTCTAGTTGACTCCAGGTATAGCCCATTCTTATGATGTTTGCCTCGAGGTCGAGTCGCCAGGTGTTTCTTGGACGGCTTCTCTTCCTCTTTCCTTGAGAGTTCCAACAGAGACCCTGCCTGGTGATGTTGGTTGGTGATTTGCATAGGGTAAGCCCTATCCAGCTCCATCTTCTCTTCCAGATTTCTGCCTCTGCTTAAAGTTGGCAGGTCCTTTCCCATAGGTTGGTGTTACTGATGGTGTCTGGCTAGCGAATGTGGATAATCCTTCTGAGACAGCTATTGATGAATCTTAGGATTCTTCTGTTGGTGGTTTTGTTTGTACTCCAGGTTTAAGCCCCGTACAGCAGTACTGACTTCACATTGAACAGTCGGATCTTGGTGGTCAAGGTTAGCTCTCTGGAAGTCAAGATGTTCTTGAGCTGGATGAAGGCAACTCTTACTTTGCTGATCCTTGCCTTGACATCTGCATCTGTTCCACCTTGCTGGTCAATGATGCTGCAAGGTAGGTGAAGAACTGTACTTCCTCCAGGGGACTTCCATTCAGGGTGATTGGGTTGATGTTGCTGAAGTTGGTCTTAAGTATCTTAAGGATCTTGGTCTTCTCATTGGTCTTCTCCTTCTCCAACCTGTGCTGATGTAGCTGCCAACACACTGATCTTCTCTTGCATCTGCTGCTGGCTGTGAAAGAAAAGTGCAAGGTCATCGGCAAAGTCCAAGTCATACAGTTGACTACAAAAAGCCTACTGTATTCCATTTCTGTCTTCATGATCCAGTTGATGGTGATGAGGAAGAGGAATAGGGATAACAAGCATCCTTGTCAGATTCCAGTCTTCACCTATGATGTCCTCCATGGATCACTCTGCAGGTCATTCCCTCGTATGAGCTCTTTATCAGGTTGACCACGTTGGCTGGGATGCCGTAATGTCGGAAGAGCTTCCATAGGACCTCTCGATCCACACTGTCAAATGCTTTCTCATAGTTGACGAAGTTAATGTACAGCGATGAGTTCCACTCCAAGGACTGCTTGACTATGATGCGCAAGCGTTGCAATCTGGTCCATGCATAATCGATTCTGCCGGAAGCCTGCTTGTTCATCTTGTAGTTGTGGATCGACGACGTCCTTCATCCGCTCTTGGAGGATCTGATTGAAGACCTTGCCTGGCACTGACAGGAGTGTGATACTGTGACAGATTCATCTGTATTGCTGGTTCGTCTGTTTCCCTTTGTTCGCTGGATTTCCTGTTCGTATACCCCCGTTCGTGTAATTTGCAAACTACCGATTGAAACTACCGAACGAACGACCACCCACCCAGGAGAGGAGTGTGCTGCTGGTTAACCTCTTGGCCCCCAATTAGAACGTTGTGGTTAACCGCAGACACCTCTCCATTCCATTCGTACGGGTGGTCGTCGTTCGCATGTCGACCACGAGGCAGCGGCCATTTTGGGACACACGAACGCATAGCGGTGTTCGGTACAAATTGTATGGAACTAAAAACGGACACTTAAACTACCGAACACCGCTGGAAGCTGCTGCCCACCTTCTATTTCAACAAGGCATGCGAACGTCGGTTGTTCGGGAGTTTTTATTCATTCGTATGGACTTTTACCCAGACAGCCGTCCCATGGAGTCATTCGTATACCGAAGGACTGGTGAAAGACTTTGACTCCATGGCGATTCGACTAGATACATCGGATCTGAGCACTATTCGGTGAAAACATGCACTCAGATCCAGGCTGTCTGGGGATACGTTACACGAACCATATTCATTCGGTATTTCTTCCGTTATGTATTTTAATGTATTTTTACTACTGTAATTTAAAATGGCGAGTGTCTCTACCCTGGGAGATAATTAGGTTTCTTCCTAATTATCTCCGGGGTAGAGAAGACGGATTTATGGGTAAGATGGGAAGGGCTTATATTGAAGCCACTGCGATTGGCTACTGTACAATATGTTTTACAGTCTTCCACAAGGTCCCCTCGGGGAGTGTCCACCTTGTGGAGACCTGCATAAATACCGGGCAGGTAGCCCCCATTAAACAGATCCTGATTTGACCCTCAAGACGGAGCTTGGTCTCGTTTGTGGGGGGAATTATTACTGGGACAGCACTTCGTTATTTTTAGCTGTGGAAGGCGTTCGACTGTTTTGCTGTTCGGGAGTTGCGTGTTCGTGGACTTCGTTCAGGAGTTTGGCGGTCGGCTGGATATAAACTGCATTTCTGGAGAAGGGGATTATTTACTAAACGGCGGCTTCATCTTCCTGGCGGTGAGTGTCTTAACAGATACCTCTGTAGTTATTACAGTGCTGAGGTCACCTTTCTTTGGAAGTTTGATTAGATAACCTTCCTGTCAGTTGCTATTTCTTCTTCCTTCCATATCTTCTAAAAGAGTGGGTAAAGCATCTCCACTAATGATTTCAGGTCTGCTTTCAGGGCCTCATCAGGTCCAGCTGCCTTCCTGTTCTTCATGACCTTCCTGATCTCTTCTCTAGTCGGCTTGCCACAGTTTATGGGGAGATCTTCGTTGGCTGGATTGATGTCTGGTGGATTTGGTGGTGCTGGCCTGTTCAGGAGCTCCTCAAAGTGTTCAGACCATCTATTCATCTGCTGTGCTAGTCCTGTGATGACCTTTCCCTCCTTGTCCTTGACGAGTCGTTCTGCCTTGCTGTACAGTTTATTAGTCATGTCGTACAGCTATTTAATGTTGACGTTGTATGCTGATGGCTGAAGCTATTGCTATTTTTGCCAAAGGAATAACAGTAAAGTAGTAGCTAGTAACATGAGCTGTTATAAACAATACGTTTTATAGCAGTACAAATGATTTGGTTCATATTAGAGATGACGTGAATTTCTATGTTATGTGTTTAGACATTGTACCAATGTTAGAAGATAATCCATTTACAATCTCATTTTTTCTGGTAGACCATGTGCGGATTAACTAAACATTTATGTCATTTAGTCAAAGTAGGGAATTGTATTAATATCTTTATGCATTTAATCGATCAAGTTCAGTGTCTCCGAGCAGAGGGTGTTGACACTGAATGGCAGTTCTGCACACTGTGCAGCACTGCCCCAAGCAAGCAACCATAGTAGCCATCTGAGAAATGGCCACTGTTTACATAGCTGTAATGTAAACAGTGCATTTTCTCTGAGAAAAAACCTGCAGGGACTAACTATACTTACCATAACCACTACTTTAAGCTGCAGTTGTTCTGGTGACTATAGTGTCTATTTAAAGCACAAAGAAGTCAACTATTACCTGATAACACTGTAAGATTAATGCATGTTGTAAAATTTAAATCTACAAATTAAAGATTGTAACTTTTAGTGGGGCTCTTCTTGTAAATAAGTTAAGTGAGGGGAAGTTGGAAAATTATTTTGTCATCTATTTCCTTGTTAAGTGGCCAAATGAAATTTCATAATCATACAGTCTGCAAACCATAAATAAATGTATCAGTGGGTATCGCCTCTTAAGGATTTTCTTTTCTGTTAAGAAACTTGGAAGCATGAAAGCATACACTAGAAATGTGAAAAGAGTAAAAACTGGTGTCAAGTGACCAATTAAAGGGATACATAAAGCACCATACCAGCTTACGCTCCCTATAAATTTTATGGTGTAAATAGGTCATCTGTCCCTGTCTCCCTTCTTCTAGATCTTTATAAATATAATGATTGGCAACATTTGCTGCAACTGCTATCTCCACTCCCTCACTGAAATACCTTATACATTACCGCGCACCAGTGCCACAGTAACAAATTATAGCGCAAGTGCAATTTCTTTTTTAGAAAGGAGGGGTTTTAAAAAAAAGTACTTGAATTAATCTATTTCTTTCCTTTTTCTGTTTTCTATTCTACTTTTTTTCTATGTGTGTCTGTGTGTGAAGGGTGCTGTGTGTGTGTGAGAGAGGTGCAGTGTGTGTCTGAGGGGTGCTGTATGTTTGTGAAGGGTGCAGAGTGTGGATGAGGGCTGCCTTGTGTGTGTAGGGTGCTGTTTGTGTGAAGGGTGCTGTGTGTGTGAAGGGTGCTGTGCGTGTGTGATGAGTGCTTTGTGTGTTTGTGTGTGAAGGGTGTAGTGTGTGTGAGACAGGTGCAGTGTTTGTAAAGGGAGCATTGTGTTTAAAGGTTGCAGCGTGTGTGAAGGGTGTTGTGTGTGTGTGTAAGGGGTGCAGTGTGTGGAGGGTGCTTCCCTACATTTGTCTTTTTACTCCCTAACCCCTCCACATGTCTCATTACCCCCAGCCAGGGACATTTTAGCCGCGAGGCAAACAAGGCATTTGTTTGACAAGCCGGGCGGGCTGCTGGGCGGGCGGCACTGGCGGGCGGCTGGCCGCTGGCAAGGGAGTACTTCCCCTGAGCTGTCTGCTCAGCTCCCTCACGCGCCGCCCGCAGAGTGATGCCAGGAGAAAGTGATGTTGAGTGCTCAGAGGAAATGCTCCCTTGCCAGCCGCCCGCCAGCGCCACCCGCCCAGCAGCCACGGGACTCCCAGGGAGAAAGAGAACCTGGGGGGTTAAATAAAAAAAAAGCATTAATGTAAGTGTGTGTGTATGTGTGTCTGTTAGTGTGTGTGTGTGTGTCTGTTAGTGTGTGTGTGTGTGTGTGTGTCTGTTAGTGTGTGTGTCTGTTAGTGTGTGTGTGTGTCTGTTAGTGTGTGTCTGTGTTGGTCAGTGAGTGAGTGTGTCTGTTAGTGAGTGAGTGTGTGTCTGTTAGTGAGTGTGTGTCTGTTAGTGTGTGTGTCTGTTAGTGTGTGTCTGCGTGTGTCAGTGAGTGAGTGTGTCTGTTATTGAGTGAGTGTGTGTCTGTTAGTGAGTGTGAGTGTGTCTTTTAGTGAGTGAGTGTGTGTCTGTTAGTGAGTGTGAGTGTGTCTGTTAGTGTGTGTGTCTGTGAGTGTGTGTGTCTGTTAGTGTGTGTGTGTGTGTGTCTGACTGTGTGTGTCTGTTAGTGTGTGTCTGTGAGTGTGTGTGTCTGCTAGTGAGTGTGTGTCTACTAGTGAGTGAATGTGTGTCTGTGAGTGTGTCTGTTAGTGTGTGTCTGGGTTTCTGTTAGCGAGTGTGTGTTTCTGTTAGGTAGTGTATGCGTATCTGTCAGTGAATGTGTGTGTGTGTATTTAGAAGGTGGGGCAGGGGGAAGGGTTGGGTGGGGGTGGCGCGGGGGCAGCACAAAACCAGCATACACCACTGCCCCCAGCCCTCCATGTGTCTAATTCCACCCTCTCCAGTCTCCTTTGTGTCTCATTACCCCCTAGTCCTCCATGTGTCTCATTCCACCCCCTCCAGCATTTCAACATGTCTCAACCACCCCCCGACCTCCATGTGTCTCATTACACCCCAGCCCTCCATGTATCTCATTTGCTCTCTCAGCCCCTCCATGAGTCTTATTAGCACCTCCATGTGTCTCATTAGCCCCCATGTGTCCCTATAGCCCCCTCCCAGCCCATGTGTCTCATCCCACTGCCTCCAGTCTTCCATGTGTCTCATTCCACTTCCTCCAGCCTTAAATCTAATTAGCCCCCATCCCTCCAGCTTTCTCAATCCATTCCCCCAGTCCTCCATGTATCTCATTACTTCCCCAGACCTCCATGTGTCTTATTAGCTCTCTCAGCCCCTCCATAGGTCTCTATAGCCCCTCCCAGCCCTCCACGTGTCCAAATTCAGATCTGTTTGTGACCTGAATTACAAAATCAGAAACATTGTTAAATTATATGACAATGTCCAAATTTTGCAATCCAAATGGCCTCGTAAGCAGTCAGATGGTTTTGCCCCATTAGTGGATTTGCCCTATTTAGTGAATAATTCAGTTTTTATGTTCAGCTCCATTCTTAAAACTATTAAAGAAGCTATCGGCTTATATGGGCATCTATTAGGTAATACAGGAAGTTAATTTATATATCTCAAAGAATGGAACTGCCATGCTGAACAAAATATGCCGTACACCCCTCGTGGATATGATAGTAGCTCAAAATTTTCATTAAAAGTAATAGAAGGAGTAAGGTAAGCCGCCAGCATTATTCGTTAGCTAATGTAAAATCTTTAATGTATAATCGCACTTTCTATTAGTTACCCTCATTATGCACCATAAACTAAAAGTTAGAACATAATCCATCAATAAATAATAACTAAAAAGAGAAAATTACATATGTGGGATGAATGAAATAGATACTGTTTTTAGTTTTTTTTTTTTATGTATTTTATTCATGTGCAATATCTTCTGGGTTCAGAATGCACTTGTGTTTAAAAGTGTTTATCCTCCAGTGTTTATCTATTCACTTTTTATATTTTTACTTAGTAAAAAAGTTGGGAAGTCACTGTTTTGGCAATACTGTCAATAAAGGGCCCTCACAATAGAACAACCCTCCATGTGTCTCATTACTTCCCTAGACCTCCATGTGTCTTATTAGCTCTCTCACCCCCTCCTTATAGCCCCTCCCAGCCCTTCACATGTCCCAAAATCCAGACCAAATCCATCTAACCTTGATGGACGCAAGTCTCTTTTCAGCTATGTAACTATGTAACCACCGCCCAATCACCTGACTCCCCATAATATGGAAAGTCCTGTCAGGCATTATAGTTCTCAAGATTGATGGGCAGATGAGTCCAGATAAGAGATACCATAAAGGATAGTTGAGAATCTCGGGGCTAAAATCCTGTGGGACTTTAAGATTCAGATAGACAAGCCAGTACTGGCCAACCAACCTGATATCTTGGGGGTATGCAAGGATCGGTAGACTGCAGTGGTGGTGGATGTGGCAATACCTAATGACTATTACATCAAGAAGAATGAACATGAGAAGGTGGACAAATTCCAAAACTGAAAGAGCAGTTAGAAAGGATATTTAAAGTAAAGGCAGTGGTAGTCCCAGTTGTGATAGGAGCACTCAGGGCTGTAACCCCCAGATTTGGGAACTGGCTTTAGCTGGCATAGCAAATTCCAGGTGGGACATTGTCCAGTAGAGTGCAGTTCTAAGAACAGCTAAGAAACTATGCAGAACCCTCAGATTTCCAGGACTGAAAAAAAATCCACTTTTTGACTATTATAAACATGTAGAATAGCATATATTTGATTCAATAATGTTATTAAAGTATATATATAAAAAGAAAAAATATAATAATACATCAGAATCATACATCAAAAAACATTACAATTTTATAAGAGAAAACTGAACATGATTAATTTGAGTAGTACGATACAAATATTACCTTTCCTTTCGCTCTTTCCCGTCTCCCTTTGAGAGGGCCAACCTACCCTCCTTAGTCCTGTAAAATTGACTAGATGAATGTTACAATTCAAATTAAATTGAAAAATAAATAAATAATAATAATAAAAAAAGAACCAAACAAATAAATAAATAATTACAAATAATATTCACCCCTTAGGACTGAGCCAAATGTACACTTTGTGATCAAACAAAACTTGGAATTTGACTATATGTCTGTTCAACTGTAATTCACCTCTTTCATATTAAGTGCACCCACACTTAGTATATATCAGTTTATTTAGTGGAAACGGGACTTTCATTTAACATCAAATATTTAGCTATGAAACATAATTTAATATGAATAAAATATACAAAAATAGGAGAAAATAAGAAGTGTTGTTATTTTTTTAGTTCTTCATGACATTTTAACTGTGAATGTCATAATACTATTTGCTTTTACTGCATTAAAATACACATATTTGTATTCAGCGA